ATAAATAATAAATATATCTACATATATAAATAAATTAATAAAAAATTTAATTTAATATTTTTTTAAATATACTATTTATAAAATTGATTCTTGAACATTAATTTTCCCGATCATGTAATTTAAATAAGAATGTTATTCTCAAATGCATATGTCTGCCCTTTCCGCTTCCTAAACCGACGTAAATAATTACAGTAATATAATCCTGCATCTAATTTTACAGAAAATAATTTAGTTTTACAATGAAATATCTGCAAAAAAAATCATTTAGCTTTACAATGAAGTGCACCCAATTAATAATGTTAGCCTTGTTTGTGTGAGAGTATTGTGTTGGGGACTCCATTTTTTCCTCACCCTCACCCCTCTTCCCTCTTCCTTCTTCCCTCTTCAGACCGTATGAATAATAGAAACTTATGAGTTATGTTATTCATTTATGCTAGTATAAACTTCAGTGATTTTCTTAAACAACTCAAGCAATATTCAAAAACATGCATAGAGAGGCACGAATATTGTGAAGAAAAAAGTTTAATATGCAGACTTGAAAAGGCAATAAGAAATAATTAAAGTGGAAAAAGAGAAAGCAAAGCAATGATGAGAATATTGAAATGGATACTCACGTTAACCATTCGCGGGAAGTAAAGGACCTGAGCTTTGTGATTCAAGACATCAACAACGGCCTCTCGAATCCCAGGCAAGCGTTTGATGGTTTTCTCCACGGATCCGGCGCACGCAGCACACGTCATTCCAATAACGCTGAACAAAACCACTTTGCTATCTGATCCTTCTAATTCCAAAACCTTCTCCGCCGTTTCCACCACCTTCATCGACGGATAGTGTGGCTGAACCCACAAATTTCCACAGCACTGCCGCCAACTGCTCATGCACTCCCAACCCTCTAACCTCTTACCCATTTCACTCTCTAATACTTTCTTCTTCACAATTAACCCCATAAATAAAGCCTATTTATAGAACTCAACATGGCTTAGCATCATTTAAATAAAAGATAAATAAACAGTGATTGAAAAGGTTATAACATGACTACTACTACTACTAATTCCAATTAATAGGGTGTAAAAAGGTTAAAATATTTTTGGAAGAGAAATGATTAATATTAGGAAAAGTTTTTATATGAAACTGTTGATCAATTGCTTACTGATTTCTGTTAAATTTCTCGTTATTTTTTCCTTTGTCATTCTTTTCAACCGATAAAAAAAAAAGACGCACTTGTTAGTAACGCTACTTTTTTTTTTCAACATTCATCATTCATTTTTTATAATGGATCAATTCTCCACTTGAAATAAATAATATAATACCCATTTTAGTTAATGTATTGCCGTAAAAAGACTTTATTTTAAAGCGTGATCAATTCGTATAGTAAATTTAAGATTTGATGCGTGTTCTCATGAAACAAACAATTATTCCATCATTTTACAGTGAGAGATTGTATCATATGTTTGATTTCGGAAAGAAAACTGAACAAAAAAAAATAAAAATATATATATATATATATATATATATATAATTTAATAAGAAATTTTGAAAAATAAAATGTATATATAAAATAAAAAATAATGTAAAAACATTTTTATTACAGTAAAACACGTTTTCTTTTCTTTTTTTTTCTCTCAAAATGAAAGAAAAAATATTGATAAAAATATATTTTTGAAGAAAATATGACACTGTCATTAACCTTATTAGGTTTATATATATTTCAAATATCGTTTGAATACGTAGGAAGATACGTGCACAAGTATTGTTTGATTTGTGAGAACAAGTTATTAGAATTATCTCAATAAATAACCTTAGATTTTGATTAAAAAAAAACAGTTGATTTAAGCCAAACTTGTTAAAAAACAAACAAGTTACCTTTTTAAAAAATAAGAATTTTAAGTGTATACTCTTTAGTTGTTTGAGTGTAACCATTCAAAGTTTTTTTTATTATTATTAAACGTATATTATTTAGATAGTTCATAAAAACAACCTTTCTAACAAGAAAGATTGCAATGCAGCTTTCTTAGACTTAAATAAAGGTAATGTAACATTTTTTTAATTTTCAGAAAAGAAAACATTTATAATTTTAAATAATATTTCAATATTTTTAAAACAAATATGGTAACCTCTTTATTTAAATTAGTTAACAATGTTATTTTGTATTTTATATAATTCAATTATATTTGAGTAAAAAAAATATTAAAACTTAATTTTTTTATTAATTTATATTTATATTTATATTTTCACTTTAAACTTAATTTTTTTTTCTCATTGAATGACATTTTTCGTTCATGTAGTTTTGAAGCATTTAATTCTAATATGTGAATATTCAAATTGATTAACATCAATCTCAAACACTTACTTTTTTAGTTTATCCAATATTATGTTACAAAAATAATATTTGATTGTTAAAAAAAAAACAAAATCAAAAGATTAATCCGACAACATGAACTATTATAATTCTTGTATTAGATTAATGATTTTTAATTTTTCTTTTATGTTTTAAGATTTATCTTCCTTCTTTTTAATGTAAGAAAAAAAATGAAGAATGAGGCTTTATACATTTGAAAATGATTTGCTGTGAAAATTTGTAAGTTATGTTTGCTATATTGAATCTACATGAATCATAATACAATAAGATTATTTTTTGAATATATATATATATATATATATATATATATAATAATAATAAATTAATAAAAATATTCAAATTTTGGTATTTATATTTTGTTAAAGAAAACATAAAAAAATTATATGAAATATTAAATAATATTATTGACTAATTTAAACAAAAAATATTAATGGGATTGTATATTGTAAGAAAAATATTCCAACCTAACCATTTTCTTACTCTTGGATTTTAAACTATTCTCAACCCTACCCAGAATAGCTCATTAAGACGTATGTCTGGCTAAAATGCTCGTAAGTTGTTAATGTATGTTGTACATTTAAAAGTTTGCCAATAATATAATCAATATTTTGAGCCTTGTAAATTTGAATTAACCAAGATCAGCCAAGGGACTTAAATTGTTTACACATCTAACACTTTTTTTTGTTTTCTCTTTGCTTCGTGTTGTTGCTGTAATACTAGTAAATTTACATCTCGAAGAAGAAGCATCAAGACTAATGTAGTTATTTAAGTTAAAATTAGTTCAGTTAAAGAAAGATAAACTCCATTTAGTTATTTTTGGTTATGCTTATTTGGATGGTATCGAATTTGGCATCTTCTCTTTGAGAACTTGTTCCCATTCTATGATAGAATATATAAAATAGAATACAAGTATATATTACTTTTTGGGTTCGCGGTTTCTTTTGATTGTTTTTTATATACAGGATAAAAAATAAAAAAATAAAAAATTGGTTTATTAGTCCCGTACCATCATTGATCACTAAGTAACAAGTTGAAATATTTGATGATGAGATATAGATTGACTTTGATGATTTTATCATTTTGATGATAACCCAATTCATTAGTTGATTATTACTATTAACAATGACATTAGCAATATTACAACTTTAAATTTTTTTTTATATTATTTTAGAATAGCTACAAATAATTTTTAATAGGGTTTGAAATTCGTTAACTGGTGAAACATTAACATGAAGTGCAATTGGATGCGAAACTGACCTTCGATGTTTAAGCATATGCACCTAATTTAAGATATCCTTCAGGGTAAAGTGTATTGGAATAATTGAATCAAATGAGTAAGTATATCAATTTATATTATATATAATTACTTATTGTATGATTGTAAAGAAGGAAAAAAAATAAAAGAGACAATTTAAGAGATTTTTAATATCAAATATTAATAATATCTTAATTATAATGGTTTAATTTAATATGTTTTTATTTTTTATTTAAAAAAAATTAATACATGATTTAAATAAAAGATAATAAAATAATATTTTTAATATAATAAAAAGTTATTGATTAATGAAAAAAAAGATTTTAAAGATTGTTTAGTTTATTATAAATAGTTTTTATATTATAAATATTTATTCGTTGGTGTTCATAAAATTGAAAAATTAATAAAAATATGTATACACATTTTATATTGTATTATTTTAAAAAAAACTCCACTATAATTAAATGAGATTATTAATTTTGAAGGGAATAGAGATATATTGCTTTCAGAAATTTTAAATGTTGTTTCAATATTTACTTATTGTGAAGTGCTTCATTCCTTTAGAATATATTAAAATAGAATAAAATAAATATTATTTTAATTAAATATATTTATCAATAAGATAAATTTCCTAATATAGAAAAACAGATAAATAATACAATAATTAAAATATTTTTTAAAATATTAATAATATCTGAGAAAATATTTTGATAATAACAACATACCATGACTAAATTTAGTATTCTCTACAGATTTAAAAAAAATACATGATAAATTATGAAAATAAAAATCAATTAAGTAGAAATGTTGCCCAGAATAGCGTTTTTAAAAAATAAGTTTTACAATAAAACATTTAAAACAAAAATTATTCTTCTTAAAAATAGTCAACTAATAAAACTATTAATTGGTCAAAAAGTATTATCATTCTGGTACACAATCAAAAAGTACATATCTCTGCCCATCAAATAAATATTGCAACTTGTTAATTAGTGATCAAAACAGTGATTTGAGACTCTCTTTTTTAATAAAGCCTTGATTCAAAGTATCATTTTTGTAAAATGAACTAATTTGATGGAAGAATAATTAATTGAGTATTAAATAAAAAGTTCAAATATCTCCTTGTCCTTTTATTATATTCCTTAATTTTTTTTTCTCCACTTATTTTATTTTCCTCTATTTTTTCTTATTTCACTTTTTAATATATGTGAAAAAACTTAAACGGAAATTATGGAAGTAATTTGTAAATTTTAGAATAAAATTGACTTTATTTACAAGAAAAGGAACCTTTCCCACCAACTTAGTACACAACTAACATGATCGCAACACAACACTTGATTATATATACATGCAATAATGGCTTAAGGCAAAACCAAGAATGGTGATGCATCATATGCCAGTGGAGGAGGACTCGACGGTTATGCCTCGTATCTCAAGGTTGTGGAGCTTCCTGGGTCTCCTGTAATATTTCAACAACAGAGAACAGCAAACAACGCTGACAGAGGAGGCGGCCATAGCAGCCCCAGCAATCCAGGGTGGCAATCTGAATCTTGTAGAAGGGAAAAGAGCTCCTGCAGCAATTGGGATTCCAAGTAAGTTATAACCCAAAGCCCAAACGTAATTCAGGCGTATACGGGAAAATGTTTTTCTGGAAAGGTCAATAGCAGTAATGACATCCTCCAAGTTGCTCTTCATGAGGACAATATCAGCAGCCTCGATAGCAATGTCTGTACCAGCACCTATTGCCATTCCCACATCCGCTGCCACAAGCGCAGGCGAATCATTGATACCATCCCCCACCATACCCACAGTGTAACCAGAAGCCTGAAAGAGCAAAACAACCCACTCAATATGGTATAAAAACCAGCAATCAAACCAGGGAGTTTGCAAAACCAATGTCAGAAAGACAACATTACATAAGTACGGACTACTGAACCAATAAATCATTATCTGATTATGGCTTGAAATAAGGTGGTATTAATTTCAATTTCAAGGTTCCAGCCCTATCATTTCTTTCATTTTCGAATAACTAACTTCTTAGAATTAAGTAGAGAAAATATGCAATCATTATGCCTTCATACCTGCAATTCTTTCACCTTCTCTGCTTTTTGATCCGGTTTGGCCTCAGCAATAACATTTTCAATTCCTACTTCCCTCGCGATAGAACTAGCCGTTCCGAAGTTGTCCCCAGTCACCATGATGCTCTTGATTTTCATTGACTTGAGAATGGAAATGACTTCTTGGGCACCTGGTTTCAGTGGATCGGATACTGCTATAACTCCAGCCACTTTCCCATTTACAGATACCAAAATTCCTGTTTGAGCCATCTTTTCTGCTTCAGCAAGCATTTCTTCAGCAGCAACAGGAATTGGAATGTTATGGTCAGCCAACAAGCTCTTATTACCCACCATTATTTCTTTGTTATGAACAGTGGCCTTTACTCCGTGTCCTGTAATGGAAACAAAATCTCGTGCTTCTGCCCAAGAAGGGTTCTCTTCATTTCTAAATTTTTTAGCATACTCAACAACGGCCTTCGCCAGTGGATGTTCACTATTCACCTGGGATAGGCAAGTCAAATTAACGGCAATTTTTATGACATAAGCATATGCATCTGTAATCCATGAATTTTCAAAGCACTAAATCAACGTAAAGAAAAAAAAGAAGCAATCATAATTAGACAACAAACTCCTAGTTCCTATAACTATTGACTAGGCTAAGCATTCGAGAAGTAGATAGGGGGAGATGACTACCTCAGTTGCAGCCACAAGTTCATAGAATTCCCGGAGTACCATCTTTGTCAATAGTTCTGTTCTCACTATTACAGGTTTCCCCACAGTGAGAGTACCCGTCTTATCGAAAACAATGCAGTTCACCTACAAGACAGTCATAAACATATTCAGTGTAAGTAATTACAGATAAAATCATGAAAGCTTTTACAGACGCCACATCATACAATCAATTACCAGTCTTCAGATTGATATTTGATACTGATATCCAAAAACACTATTTCCCTTCACCCAGCATAACATAAACAAACAACAATACTTCATCTTAAGAACTAAGACATGATATGAAGTGAGCATATTAGTTGGTACTCCTGTCCTAAAAGGCTAAAACATATTTGATGTTGGATTACGTGGCAGAAATGGCTCTCAAACACTACTTGAGATTAATGGTTATTCCTATGCTTATTTTTTACTTGCCACTTTATTAATTGTTCAATTTTAAGCCGATCGACAAACACAAAGCAATTAAAGAATTCAAGGGGCTAATCAAATGTGAAATGCCGACCTTATGTGCACTCTCTAAAGCCTGCCCTCCTTTGATGAGCACACCCTGAGATGCACCAACTCCCGTCCCAACCATAACCGCAGTTGGCGTCGCTAAACCCAAAGCACAAGGGCAGGCTATGACCATAACAGATATTCCAAACTGCAAAGCAAGCTCGAAGCTGTCCATTGATGACGGTATCCAAGACTCTGGGTAAGCATGATATCTTCCCGCCAAAAACCAGGCAAGCCAAGTCGAGAACGAAATCACAATCACCTGCATACAAACATCCATACATCCCTTTAAAAGAGGTCCTCATCCTCCACAAGTACAAACAATGATTTAATAAATACAAACAAATTCCTTAAAACAATTAATAATAACCAGAGGCACAAAGTATCTGGATATGCGATCAGCAAACTTCTGCACAGGTGCTTTAGCCATCTGCGCTGACTCCACAAGGCGAACAATCTGAGAAAGAGCACTCTCAGATCCCACCCTCGTCGCCTTAACATGCAAAACTCCATTCTCATTCACAGTTCCTCCAATAACAGTGTCCCCTTTCCTCTTCGCCACGGGACGCGACTCCCCCGTGATCATGCTCTCATTCACGTGACTCTGCCCCCACACAACAAACCCATCCGAAGCCACTTTCGCCCCAGGAGCAACCTTAATCACATCGTTCTTCTGAACCAACCTGCTATCAATCTCCTCCTCTCCCGCAACATTCCCATCGCCGTCCAAAGTCAGCAAAACCGCCGTGTCCGGCGTCAAGTTCATGAGCTTGGCAATCGCATCAGACGTCTTACCCTTCGCCAAAATCTCCAGATACTTCCCAAGCAGAATGAACGAGATAAGCATCGCACTCGTCTCGAAGAAATCATTCCCCTCGAAATGCGGCGAAGTTGCAGCTCTCAAAACAGAGTAAACAGAGTAAAAATACGCTGCGTTTGTTCCCAACGCAATGAGAACATCCATGTTCGCAGAGCCACGGCGTAACGATTTATAAGAACCGGAGTAAAACCGCCAGCCGAGTACGAACTGAACCGGCGTGGACAGCAACCACCGTGCAACCTCCCCCACGGTAAGCATGTTCACGATTTTAGCATCAAGTGCTTCCTTAATTCCAGGGACATACATAAACACCATGGAGGTTAGAAACACAGGAATAGTAAACACCAAGCTCCATAAGAAAGATTTATAATACTGCCTTGTTTCCTGGCGTCTGTGAGAGTCTCTTTGTCCTTCTTCTGTGGGATATATCTTCGCCTTGAAGTTCCCATTCCCTGGTTGCTCAATCACGCTGATGAGATTTCTGGGTCCTGTGACGTCCGGTTTGTAAGAAACCGATATTTTGCTGAGTTCCGCGGTGAAGTCTACCGCAAGGACTCCTGGGAGTGTCCGCAGAGAATCCTGTATTAGTTTCATGGCAGCGTCATCTGTTACTGCGCCGTCCACGTGGAGGTCTATCTTGGTTAAGTCTTCGCTTAAACTGATGAGCGCGGCTTCGAATCCGGAATCTTCTATGGCTTGCAGAATGTGGTTTGGAGTGAGGAGAGTTGGGTTGTAGTGGACTTGGGCCTCTTCAGTGGCTAGGCCCACGCGGGCTTCGAGGACACCGTGAAGGGCTTGTAAAGCGGATTCCAGCGTGGAGGAACAGGAGGTGCAGGTCATTCCTTTGATTTGGATGCGGCATACTTGAACGGATTTCTCGTGTGTGGCGTCCGTGAGTAATAGCGCTTCGAAACCCGCATCTTCGATCGCCTCGCGAATTGTCTCTTCCTGAAAGAATAAAAAAAAGTGAGAAGTGTGAATGCGTATGAGAGAGAAGAGAGAATGAGAGAGTTGTTTGGCTCACGTTAACGAAGGAGGGGTAGAAGATGACGTGGGCGCGGTTGTTGAGGACGTCGACGATGGCTTCGCGGATCCCGGGGAGGCGTTTGACGGCCTTCTCGACGGAACCGGCGCAGGCGGCACAAGTCATTCCGACGACGGAGAAAAGAGCAGTGGAGTCTGAGAGTTCCTCGACGGTGGTGGCGGGCTGTCCCTTGGGGTATTTAGGCATGGAGGGGTAGTGAGGTCGCGGCGAGAGGTTTCGCCAGCAACTTAAGGCTAACAACTTCGCCATTGGTTTTCTACAAAAAGAAAAAGTAGTATCTACCCAGCAACACCACTTCGGTTTACAAAATTGTAACTGATGCCACTTCCAGGGTCGCTTTTATATTGTCAACCTGTGTTTGCTTCTGCAATGCAATCTCCATCCATACGCTTTTGACTTTTAACCAACGCTGTTCTTCGTGTCTTCACACGCCTTGTTTTCCTTTTTAGTTCTGTGGACCATTTACTTACGTTGGCCCAACGCAACCTTGGGTTCTGAGGGAGTTAAAAGTTGGGCCCACTAACCACTAACAAATATAAAGATATAGAACAACAACCATTCCTTGGATTCAATTTAAAGGGGATAAATTTGAACCAAGCCACTACCCGGCCCAGAATTAGGGTTCTTCACAAAGAAGCCCACTAGGCAAGGTTGAAATAAGGGAAGTCATATAGAATAATCTATTTGTATGGTCAGTTTTAATTAGAATAATTGCCTTTACCTATAAATTCTGCTTTTCTTTATATATATATATATATATATATATATATATATATATATATATATATATATATATATATATATATATATACATATATATATTATATTTTGAAGATTTTATAGAATATGTTCTATTCTATTCTTTTTGTTTTTCCAAATATTCTTCGTATTATACACATACACTGTTAGAAACAAAAGCGAAAAATTATAAACACTTGCATTGATGTATACGTTTTTCATTGTTTTGGGAAAGCATTAAAAACTTGTCATGATTGGAACCTTTTGCCATTCTCTCGTTATATATTTTATTTAACTAATTAATGGTATTTCTTAATTGGGCCATCAGAGACGTCATGGATTACGTTTAGAGGCCGGCCAACCAAAGTTGACTTGGACTCTAAATGAAAGCCCATTCAATAATAGGCTTATAAAATCAACGCGTCCAGTAGGTCATGGCCCACAGTCCAATTCGTATTATTTGGGCCTTATCATCTTAGTTTTGTATTCTACGAGAATGATTGTTGAAAGACGGTCCAAATCTTTTGTGCCCAAATTCAAATTGGCAAGCGCACTCAAAAAGGAATCTAGTGTCTGTGTGTCTTAAAGAATAACAAATAAACAGTGAAATTTACAGTTTGTCACCCAGTCTGATAAGATAAGAGTTTATCACCCAATAATCACTAAGTTTAAAAAAATTACCAATTATATTTTTCTCTAAAATGAAAATTAAGTAGTTAAAAATATTTATCCCCAAGTTTAATTGGATTTATTTGGGACATGATTTCTCTATATATTTATTATTTCTTTTTTTATATGTTGAAATTTTATTTCTTAATACTATATTTATCTTATCATCCTATTTCATAATAAATGTAACCTTTTTAAAAAAATTTAGAAAAAAATAAAATTTATAAATTTAAATGATATTTATATATTTTTATTTTAAAATAAATATGTTAACCTCTTTATTTAAATTAGTTAACAATAGCTATTTTGTGTTATAATTCAATTATGTTTCTTTGGTTGGTTTGATTTTCATAAAAATATCTGAATTTAACATAAAAATCAATCTTAGTTTGGTTTTAATTTAATACAGTATCAGTTTTACAGTTCTTATTCTTATAAAGTATTAAATATTTTATCATGAAAAATTGAGCAATTTCTTATTGGATTATTATTATATTTATAATCTCAATTATTTTATATTTATAAATAAAATATACATTTTTATAACTAAAAATTATTATAATATATTTGATAATTACAAATATTTGTAAATACAATCCAATTAGAAATGATTTCCTACCAATTTATTTTGACATTCACAACTTTATATATCTTTTCGTCTCGCTCATCTTTCCTTAGCGAGCTATTAGACACTCTCTTTTATGAATGAATGTTCTAGACAAACCTCATAATTGTCTATACATCCTAAAATAATCATTTACAATATATATGTAAATTTTAAATATCATATGTAGTTTATAATCGATCATTCAAATAAAACTCTTTTATTTAGAAAAAAATAGTAAAAGTATTTTAATTTAATTAACTTTGAATCATTTTCTTGTATCATTTTAGTCTTAAATACTCTAAGGTTGTTTTGAATATGGATTTGTTGTTTCACTTTTTCATATAAAATATAGATTTGTTAAAAATAATCAGTTTTTTTTTTTAAGTTCAAATTAGTTTAGTTATTGAAAGATAAGCTCAATTTAGTTGTTTTTGGCACCCCTACTTACATAGTATTGAACTTGACGACTTGTTCCCTTAGACTATATAAAATATAATACAAGTATATTCTTTTGCTTTTTTTATATATATATATATACACGGCAAAAAAATATATTTAAAATTCGGTTTATTAATCCCATACATCATTGATCACTAAGTAACAAGTTTAAATATTTGATGATGAGATATAAATTGACTTTGTTGATTTTAACATTTTGACGATACCCAATTCATTAGTTGATTATTACTATTAACAATGACATTAACAAGTAATAAATATTTATTTATTTATTTTAGAACAGCTACATATAATTTTTAATAGGGTTTGAAATTAGTTAGTGGTGAAACGTTCAACACGAAGTGCAATTGGATGCGAAACTGACCTTTGATTGTGTAAGCATATGCACCTAATTCAACATATTCTTCAGGGTAAAGTGTATTGGAATAATTTGAACAAATGAAGTAAGTATATCAATTTATACTATCTGTAATTACTTATTGTATGATTGTTAAGGAAGGATTTGTGGGAGATTGTTTAGTTTATCATAAATAATTTTTATATTATTAACATTTATTTGTTGATGTTAAAATAAAAATATTTATACACATTTTATCTTGTATTATTTTTTTAAAAACACGCCTATAGGTAAATGGGATTATTAGTTATGGTGAACTATTTTGAAGGGACTAGAGATTTATTGCTTTTGGAAATTATAAATGTTGTTATAATATTTATTTACTGTGAAGTGTTTCATTTCTTTTAAATATATTAAAATAAATTATTTTTTTAATATTTTTCCACATAAAATTTAAATTAACATATATTCAAAAAGTAATTATTTTACATCACAAATTTTTTTTAAATTCAATAAGAATAATTTTCCTAATGTTAAAATAGATAAATAATACAATAATAAAAATAATTTTAAAATATTAACATTTTAATAATAACAACATATCATATAACAACAAACCATTCGACTAAATTATTATGTAATTAAGTTTCTCATTCATTCCAAAAAATTACTATGCAGGATCTTTAGATTCATTATTATAACATAATAACATAAATTATAATAATGTTTCATGAGAGATATTCAAGGAGAATACATTTTTCAATGTCTTTGTTTTCTAATTTATTTTCTATCTATCTCTTTGTCATGAGAGATATTCAATGAAAATACGTTTTTCAATGTCTTTATTCTCCAACTTTTTTTTTTATTTATCTCTTTGTTTTTTTTTCTTTTGTCACATTTTTATGATAGTTTACTCGTGATAAAAACCTTATGGTCGAGACGTAATTTTAATCCCCTTTCTCAACCAACATCCATCAAGTTAGTTATCGTAAATTTTTATTTTATTTTATCTTTATTTTATTCTAACTTTCCATAATAATCAATAGGTCCTTATATTTTATTAAATCACATTTGAGTTCATCATTATATTTCACATAACTTACTTAATAGAATGAATTAATTAAATTAATTATAACATTCTCTCACTTGACTTATGTGATGTGATATCATTCCATGATTTAATACTTAAGTCATAATGCATATTAAAGGATCTTACATAAATTGGTTCTATCATTATTCATAATTAAAGATACAGCTATAACAAGAGTCATGAGAGTTACATATTATTTAATCCACATGTTACTACTATATTATCTCTTTCTCCTTAATATGACTTTATAATGAAAAGTCCATAATGGATTCAAACATAATATCATTTTCAATAATAATAACATAATTTATTTTCTTCATTATAATTTGCATGCATATAAGTAAAGAAGATGTTCAGAAACGAAGAGTGTCAATAGAACATGATCTGATCCTTTATCAATAGAAAACACAAATTTCATAAACTTATACATTAAATATCTTGGAGTGTCACATAAGTATTAATAATAACATTAACATTTACTACTAAACATAATGTCCATATGATCAACAAACAACTTGGGAGCAGTAATCCTTTTGATAAAGGATCAACAATCATATATAAGATCATGTTCTATTGACACTCTTCGTTTCTGAACATCTTCTTTAACGGTGAAGTATTTCAATTTCATATGTTTAGCACCTTTGAAATACTTGTCGTTCTTAAAGAAAAAAACTGTTGTGGAATTATCATAATAAATTTTTAGCGATTTGATAATGTTGTCAACTACTCCAAGTCCTAAAATAAAATTTCGCAACTAATTAGCCTAAATTGTGGTTTTAAAACATGTCACAAATTCAACTTCCATGATCGATGCAACAATGATGGTATGATTCACACTTTATTCATGAAAACACTCCCCTGACTTAAAGATACACATAATCAAATGTAGACTTTCGTGTATTCATACAACCAGCAAAATCTAAAACTATATTTCCAATCACTTCAAGGTGGTCAACTTTTCTATAAGTAATCATGTGATTTTTTGATCTTTGTAAGGATCTTAAGACTTTCTTTGTAACTTTCCAATGATCCTATTCAGGTTTATTATGATATCTACCTAGCATACCAACTGCAAAGCTAATATATGACCTCGTACATGTTTAAGCATACATCAAATTCTCAATAACAGATGTATAATATATATTTTTCATTTATTTTCGTTCTAAGTCATTCTTTAAACATTACATGAGACTAAATTTATCTCCTTTTTGTATTGGAACAGAAGATGTTGAACATTTATCTATTCTGAATTTCTCTAAAAATTTATTAATATATGTTTTACGAGAGAAACTTAATATTTTTATGTGATCTATCACGAAATATTTCTATTCTTATCATATAATATGTTT